TACGCTTGCACCTCAGATCCAACAACAATTTGCTAAAAGAAATCTAGTATCTTTTACCTCTTTGGGTATTGGCTTAATTATTATTTTTAACCCCTCTTGTCAAAAAGTCCTAGCTTCGTTACTATGACCAAACTCATTAGTATATGTATCTAGCACATTATTGGTAGGAGGCTTAGCTTAACTTTCCCCAATTTACAACTATCCACCACTTACTTCATTTACGGGCACCACCCACGTCCACACGGGATGTACATTATACACGCTTGCGAAGCGTATTCTACTGCAAATCCACTCAGACAAGACACAAATAAGTATTGCTACAGGGACTCAAAAATGGGATAAGTAATGGGACGGTGAGATGTCAACCTCACCTGTCCCACTAACTGCCTTATTTTTTGGGTCCTTTTAGGGCCTGTTTGGTTATCTCCTAAAAACCCAAGGAATAGAAATAAAAACCAAGAAAACTCAAAAAGTACAATTTCATTCATTTCCATCCCTAAAACCCACCCACAACATCTAATAAAATATTATTTTTATTCAACAACTCATCCATCACATCTAATAAAATATTATTTTCATCCAACAACTCATCCACCACATCTAATAAAATGTTATTTTTCATCCACAACATCACTCAACTTATCTCATCTCATCATTTCAAATCACTCACATCATCCAATAAGATGGTGACAACCTATCTTATCTCATTAACATTTTATTTCCACTCATTTCCTCCCAAAAAACTACGAAAATAATTTCCTTAAGTGTGGGGTCACATCATCCAATAATATAATGACAACTCATCTCATCTCATCTACTTTCTTATTTTTAAGAATGAACCAAACAAAAGAAAATAACCTATTACAAGAAATAGTTTTCTTATAATTCATTTTCTTTTTTTTTTTGCCAACCAAATAACATCAAAACAAGTTTTCTTAAAAAATCACTTACATCATCCTATAATAAGGTGACAGCTCATCTCATCTCATCTTCATTTCTTTGATTTTCTTCTTTTTTTAGCAAACCAAACACTCCCAAAACAATTCTTCTTAGAAATAGTTTTTCATTTCTTTGATTTCCCATTTTTTTAGGCAAACAAACAGACCCTAGGGGCTGTTTGGTTCCATGTTTTTGAAAGAAAGGCTTTCTTGAAAGCCTGCCAAAAGTGTCAAAAATGTCACTTTTTGGCAGGCATTCAGCCCAAATCGTTTCTAAAAAAGAAGATTCCGGCTGAAAGCCTGCCAAAAAGTAATATTTTTTACACTTTTGACAGGCTTTCAAGAAAGCCTTTCTCTCAAAAATAGGGAACCAAACAGGTCACACATATTTTTATCGGCCTCCAGAATATCTGAGAGCCCACGTGGCTCTGACGTGCTCTTTTCCACCTCCCCAGGCCCCGGCCGCCCCTGCTATCCGACGTGGATCCACCTCATTCGCTCGTTCACGACAACAGTGGGTCCCACAATAAACTTGGGCCCGCCCGACCAACAAAATTTAGACTTTGATTGGTTCATCGCGTAGGCGTTTGCCGGGCTCCGACGTGTCATTGTGATCCTTTTCTGTTTTTTTATTTTTATTTTTATTATTATCTTTTATCGCCTGAAAATTGGGGGAAGAAAGAGCCAATCACCGCGAGCGGTTCCCGACCGAGAGAAGCGAGCGAGCTCATGGGGAGCACGGGCATCGCCCGCGGCTCCTGCTGTTTCCCCTCAATAAATTCCCCTGCTTCTCCTCCTTCTCCCCGCCATCGCCATCTTCTCTCTTCGACCCTCGACCTCAATTCTCATCGCTCCTCGCCTAAAAGAGCTCTTCATTCCCTTCTCCCGAAACCCAATTTCTACAGGTAAACTCCATTACAAACGTTGTCTTTTTTGGGGGGGGTTTCTTTTTTATTCCATTTTCCGCCCTTAGCCTGTTTGATCATTTGCCAGAGCTCAATCTCGCTGCCCATCTCGCATTCAGTCCATCAAGGTGCGCTCTCACTCAATCAGACCTCAAAACCTCTTTTTTAAGGTCAAAATTGTGATCTTTTTCGTGCCTTCAGGCAACTGGGTTAAGCTCATTGCCTCTAAAGAAAAACCCAGAAGAAGAAGAAGAGGAAGCGATGACGATCACGACTTCTGTGAGGATCTCTGATAAGAAGCTGATCATCAAAGGCCGAGACATTCTCACTGGAGTCCCCGATAATGTCGTAACGAGCTCAGCTGCGAGCTCTGGTCCCCTTGATGGAATCTTCCTCGGTGCCCAGTTCGATAAACTTGATTCTCGCCATGTTATTCCTCTTGGTACTCTGAGGTTTGTGAACCTTTCGATTTGAAAATTGGATGTTTATTTTCTACTTTAGTTTCTAGATTTAATGAGAATTTTGGATGGTGGGTTCCAGAAATATTCGGTTTTTATCGACCTTTCGGTTTAAGCTCTGGTGGATGACGCAGAAAATGGGGAATCAGGGGAAGGACATACCTTTGGAGACCCAATTCCTCTTATTGGAATCAAAAGGGGATGACGACGGAGTCATGTATATCGTCTTCCTTCCTCTTATCGAAGGCCCGTTTAGAACCTGCCTTCAGGGGAATTCTCGTGACGAGATCGAGCTCTGCTTGGAGAGTGGAGATGTTGATGTAAGAGAAAACTCTTTCTCTCATTCTGTCTACATTGGTGCCCCTGACTCTGATCCCTTTGCGGCCATCTCTGATGCTGTTCGTGCTGCTAAGTCGCATCTCAAGACATTTCGCCATAGGACAGAGAAGAAGCTCCCTAGCATTGTGGACTACTTTGGTTGGTGCACTTGGGACGCATTTTATCAAGAAGTTAGTCAAGAGGGAGTCGAGGCTGGCCTCTCTAGCCTCACATCAAACAATACGCCGCCAAAGTTCGTCATTATTGATGATGGATGGCAATCCACAGCATCCGATGAGAACTCCGACACCGGTTCTTCTCTCCAAAGACTCACCGGGATCAAGGAGAACTCGAAATTTCAGAACAAGGATGAGCCAGGATTAGGGATTGAGTCAATTGTATCGATAGCTAAGGAGAAGTACGGGCTCAAGTATGTATATGTTTGGCACGCAATTACTGGATATTGGGGAGGTGTTCGTCCTGGTGTCAAGGGAATGGAGCAGTATGGATCAAGAATGCAGTATCCAAATGTATCGCCTGGTGTTATGGAGAATGAGCCATGGATGAAGACCGATGTTTTAACATTGCAAGGATTAGGGTTAGTGAATCCGAAAGGGGTGTACAAATTTTATAATGAGCTTCATGGGTATTTGGCTACGTGTGGGGTTGACGGTGTGAAAGTGGATGTTCAGTGTGTATTAGAGACCCTTGGGGCCGGACATGGAGGTAGAGTTGAGCTTACACAGCAGTATCACCAAGCTCTGGATGCATCGGTTGGCAGGAATTTTCCTGATAACGGTTGCATTGCGTGTATGAGCCATAACAGCGATGCACTCTACTGGTAAATGTTCATGTATTATAATTTGGGTTCTTAATATTATTGGTTGTTTCGAGTTTTGATACTGAATTTGTCTGTCGGAATGTTGCAGCTCAAAGCAGACAGCGGTTGTGAGGGCTTCAGATGATTTCTATCCGAGAGATCCAGTTTCACATACGATTCACATAGCATCAGTAGCTTATAATAGTGTGTTTCTTGGGGAGTTCATGTTGCCGGATTGGGATATGTTTCATTCTCTGCACCCTGCTGCTGAATATCATGCCTCGGCCAGGGCTATCAGTGGAGGCCCTATTTATGTTAGGTGAGTCAATTTTGCTCTAGTTTTGATGCAATTGACATTCGAAGTTTTTATGCCCAATTACAATTATTATTGATGAATTGGATATTGATTACCTATGAATTAACACATCTCAGTATTCTTGTTCAAAAACATTATGTCGGTTAACTTGGGACATTTCTGACATGCTTAAATCGGTATTTTTATCTAAACTCTCATTCAGAAATATTTATGTTAAGTGATTCAAGTTCGTTCCAGCTTTGATGCAATTGAGATTCTTCTGGATTTTCATATCTAGTTGCAATTGTGACTAGTGAAGGGGATCCTGATGACCTATGAATCGATGTATATTGGTATTCTTATTCAAAAACATCATATGGTCAGTTTCGATATTTCTGACATGCTTTTATCAGGACACTTATTCAAAAATGTCAACTGGACATATTTGTATTAGGTGGTTAAGTATATTCTAGTTCTGATGCAACTGAGGATCTAATAAAATTTCATGCCCAAATATAATTGTTATCGATGAATTGGATATTGACTACCCATGAATCAACATATATCAGTCTTCTTATTGAAAAATTGGTTAGTTTGGACATTCTGACATTCTTATATCAATATTCTTATTCAAAAACATCAACTGGACACTTCTGTGTTAGAGCATCTCCAACCCAAAAACCCAAAATGGTGGAGTTTTTACACCAAGTTGGTGTAGTTTTTACACCAAATTACTATTTCATCTCCAACCTATTACACTAAATGTTACACCAAAAAGAATATTCCTTTTATTATTCTTATCTTTTAACATTTTTATCTATTTAAAATATTTAACAAATTATATAATTATATAATACATTACATATAATTAATTATAATACTATATTTTATGAATAAAATAAAAATATAAAAATTAAATGCTAAATCAAATTAAAATATTACTTTCATAAATTCAACTAAAGATTACATTTAACATCGCACTTGCAAGCAAAAAAATAAAAAATAAAAGGCATTACATTTAACATAAAATAAAACACAAAGACACCGTCCATAATTTTTTTCCATTGTTGACTTTTATTTTAATAATTATTTTATACTCTAATTTCATTATAATAGTTAATACAAAATAATATATATTATTAATACAAATATAAATAACAAAAGCAAAAAAATAAAGAAAAACGTTGCGCCAATGCTGCAGTGTTGCGCCATGGCGCAACACTGTAGCAGTTCGCTATTTTAGCGGAACAAATGGCGCTCCGTTTTGGAGTGGGAATTGAGCGTAACTTGATGTTTAGCGTCTCGGTTGGAGAGGTCCTTAGGTAAGGGGCCGTTTGTTTCCTTTTTTTGAGAGGGAAATGTGGGGAAAGCCTGTCAAAAGCCTGCCAAAAGTGCAGCTTTTGGCAGGCTTGCAGGCTTTCCACCCAAATCGCCTTTTTTAGAGGCGATTTGGGTGGAAAGCCTGCCAAAAACTGCACTTTTGGCAGGCTTTCCCCACATTTCCCTCTCAAAAAAAAGAAAACAAACAGCCCCTAACTCAATTTGGTGTTAGTTTTGATGCAATTGAGATTCTTCTAGTTTTCCATGCCCAATTGTAATTGTCATTGATGAAGTGGATACATATTAGGATTACCTATGAATTAATCATATATCAGTATTCTGATTCAAAAACATCATATTGGTTTGTTTGGACATTTCTGACTAGCTTATATTGGTATTTTTATTCAAAAACATCAAGTGGGCACATTTATGTAGGCAATCAAAATTTCTGTACTTACACTACTTTCATTGCAATTGATATTTCTTCTGAATTCTCGTGCCTACTTGCAATTGTTATTGAAATAGCGGATACTGATTATCTGTGCATTAACATATATCAGCATTCTTATTCAATCATATTGGTTAGCCTGAGCATTTCTGGCGTGCTTTATAGATTTAGAAACAAGTTTCTGAAATTTCTGATATTTTACTGACCTAATTGATTTTCGATCAAATTTAATCAAACAGTGATGCCCCTGGAAAACACAATTTCGAGCTACTGAGGAAATTGGTGTTACCTGATGGGTCTATTCTTCGTGCTCGATTACCTGGTCGACCCACAAAAGACTGCCTTTTCTCTGATCCTGCTCGTGACGGAGTTAGGTGATAACATAGTCTTCATTCTTCAAAGTTTTCATTCCATTAAATGATTGGTTTCTTATATTTGGTTTCATATAGCTTGCTTAAGATTTGGAACATGAACAAGTATTCCGGTATACTCGGCATTTACAACTGCCAAGGTGCAGCATGGAGCTCTACTGAGAAGAAAAATGTGTTTCATCAAACTGGAACAGAGGCACTCTCTTGTGCTTTAAAAGCAAGTGATGTGCATCTCATTTCAGAGGCTGCAACTGATAAGAACTGGAATGGTGATTGCGTTGTTTATCACCATGAAGATAGTAAACTTGTTGTTCTTCCTCATGATGCTGCCTTACCCGTCTCATTGAAGGTTCTTGAACATGGAATCTTCACCGTCTCTCCCATTAAGGTTTGCCTAAAGCTTCTTATCCATTTCCATGTGTCTTGATATTAAAGTAAAAGAAACTCGCATTCTCATCTATGTAGCATCAGTACTTCTATTATGAAAATGTACCCGTGTTCCAATACCTGTATCATATATCTCACATTTCTTGTACACTTCTTTAGTCATGTTATATATTCGAGATATTATCTACTTTCATTTATACACAAATAACTATAGTGAGAAAAAAAATGCCTGCAAAACATTTGACTTGTACGTAACTATAATAAACTTAAATATGCCTAACTATTTACATAAATTGCAGAGTCAAGTCATATTTGTTGTGTAAAATCATAAAAATATGTAATCCGTCAAAACTATAGTATATATGTAACTACGATATGCTCTATTTTAATAGAAATAATTGTTCAGAGTCTTGTTCGCAAGAACATGTCTATATGTGCAGGGCACCTCACAGGACCAACTATCATGTGTCAGTTGTTTTATTCTAACCCAGATCAGATTGATGGTTAACGAAGGGACATCACCTGTCTCATAATTGGTCCCGTAGTTTTGGGTCCAAAAGTGATTTCTCATGTATGCATGTACATAAACTCTGTTACTATCATTTTTATATATATCTTAATGTCATATTACTCCATCATCGTATCCTGTTTTTAGTGTAATTGACATGTCCTTTGTATGTATGTGTCTGTGTGTGTAGCATACCTGTGTCCATGCTACTTAGCTTCTCATTCAAAATATTGTTTTCTGCAGGTTTTAGAACCTGGATACATGTTTTCTCCCTTGGGTCTTATTGACATGTATAATGCTGGCGGAGCAATAGAGGGCCTCTCATATCAAGTTGAGAGCTCTGAAGAACTTTTGCAAAAAGATTCTAGCCTCACAAGCAAGCTCAATGAGGTTTCTTTTGAATCACTAGAGAAATATGATGAGTCTGCGGCTAGAATTTGCATTAAAGTAAAAGGATGCGGAAGATTTGGAGCTTATTCTTCAGCTAAACCGAAGAAATGTTCACTGGGTTCATCTGGTACCGATTTCTCTTATGATTCTTGCTCTGGGCTTCTAACACTTCAACTGGACAATATGCCAGAGAATGAGCAGAAGCTTCATCAAATTATTGTTGAGTTATAGATTTATACCCCAATAAGGATATTCATTGAACTTGGATACCATTTGATTTGAGACTGAAGATTGTTCACACCTTTCTTAGGTGGAAAGATAAAGAGGTTTCAAAGAAGAAAATATATAGGATGATTGTGCCAAGATATTTCATTGCTCAAGAAGTTGATTATTTGGATTATTGATTCACTATCCCATAAATGATGGATCATGTTCTGCAACTAATTGTTGCTATTCGTTTTTCTTCAGTTCATGGTTTCTAATGGAGAGCTTAAACTTTGATCATTCTGTCCGGTGAGATTTCAAGCATATAGATAGTCCGCATTTGTTAATTTCTTTCGCAAGGAAATGCATTTTCAGGGAGATGTTGGAATTCTGCATTTAATCAGATATGAGACGGACTCACATTTTCGACTTAACATGTTAATTTGCGCAAGTTTATGGCCTAGTAAAATGTATATGCCAGATACTAAGACAATTTTCTACATAACAATATGCACATCATTTATTGCCAGTGGACAGATTTGTCAGAAAGTATAAATTCAAAAGAAAAACAAAATTTATGGACCTGAATAGATCCTTTCAGCATGTACATTGCTCATCAATGTCAAAATCAATAATTGAAGACCGATACTAGAGCAAAGGAATTACTCCAATTCTCTGAAAGTGAGATGAAATTCTTCTGATAGTGAAACTAACCTTTTTGAATATTACAATCCACCTCTTAACTTTGGTATCTGCAGGTTAATTATGCATAAAAAAGAACCTGCGCATGAAATTGAAATTTCCACGTCACTGCACAGGCTTGCTTCTAAAATATCAAAAAAGGTGAAGGATGAAAAATAAAAACAAAGGAAAAGAAGTAGTGAGAAATCTAATCAGTGAAGGTATGTGCATGCTTGGGTTACAAACTCCCATCACCTGTCCCTGTAACAACTGTGCGAGCAGCAGCAGTACAATTTCAAGAAGCAGAGAAAGAAATAAAAAAGAAACATAAAAATAAAAAAGTTTGATTTGAAGTATCACGATGAGTCACCTTTTATTGCATCACAAGAAGACGTAACGTACATCATAACAGTGGCATGATACGTTGATTCAGAATACGGTTTTTTTTTTTTTTTTTTTTTTTTTTTTTAAATACGGTTTTTTTTTTTTTTTTTTTTTTTTTGTTTAAATACTAGTCCCTTAAGTCTTTAATGTTTTGAAATTAGTCTCCAAATCATTGAAAATTGATATTAGATCCTCAAGAACTTATAATTCATTTGAAATTATATAGTCTCTCTAGTATGTTACCTTCGATTTTTTTTTCTTTTTTTTTTGGAGGGAATATTTCTTTTAGTTAAAACTTTTTTCAACATGTAACGTTCGTTGTACCCTAATGTGTACCAATACCCTTTTCAACGAAACTCATTTACACCCCAAAACCTTTGATTATAATCCATAGTGTTTGGTAAATATAATGGATTCTAATTCTTTTCCAATGATAGAGTATTTGGTAAATGGGTGGATTATAATCCATCATTGTTGTCAAAATGACCAAAAAGTGGTTTAAACTAAAGAAAGAGGAGGGCTTTGACATTTTCTTAAATGTCAATGGGTAAAGTGGTCTTCTATTTGGTCAAACTATGTGGCGTATAAGCCACCAAAAAATAAGTTGGGTTACCCTAGCTTATTTCTTTTTGGCTTATAAGCCAAAATAAATTTGTATAAACATGTCTTAGTGGCTTATTAGCCACAAAAGTAGCTTATAAGCCACTTTATAACCAGTTGCCAAACATGCTCTTTTACTGGTAACATGGTAAAATGATACACTAACGTTACCAGGATAAGAACAATGGATAAAAATTCTAGGCCCCAAAATTCTAATGGAAGTACTAATTTGAAAGAACTTATAAGATTTGAAGGACCCAATTAATGACAATTTGAATGACTTGAGACTTGAGAGGCTAATTTGAAAGAATTAAATAAATAGGAAACTAATATCGGGAAGAAAAAAAAAACCCTTCAGAAATTCTAAATCATATACGGATACCATGGCAGATCTTTAACCAAATGACTAAAGGAAGGTACTACAACACTTAGAAGTTAGATTTACAAAATGCATGAATTCAAACAAAAAAAGAGAAGTATATACAAAAAAGAATTTAAGATCGGAATTCTTCTTCTTCTTCTTCTTCTTCTTCTTCTTCTTCTTTGGACTCTCCTTTAGTTTCCCACAGCTTTATTGAACTGCAACTGAGAGGCTCATCAATGAAAGCTAAGAAGGTCATAGGTGCAGTTCAAGAAAGCTGTGGAAAATTACAAAGAGACCCACTAAATCTGAACACTTAGACATTTTAAGGAGGTTTGAAGAGGAGAGGAAGAGTTTCAGTATTTTTAGCAGGGTTTGAGGAAGAGAGAAGAGAGAAGGATATTTATAGACTTGAGTTAAAAACTTATGGACCAAATCCCGAGAAGAATGTAGGCCTCAATCAGAATCCAAAGAAACTCTCTTTGTTTTTTCATGGCAGTAAAATTTTTTATAGAAACTAGAATGAATTTTGGAGTTTTGTTCCAAAACTATTACGAGCTTTTTTTTTGAATTTTGAGAAAACTACCATGAAATTTTGAATATGCAGAAAGATATCATAAACCATTGGAAGTTACTAGTAACTGCATTCATAGGTTGGATAAAAGTCTAAATATCCTTGGAGATATTACTAATACTTGGAGTCCTGTTGAATTGAAAATAGTAGATCTTTCATATTTTGTAACTCGATGATTATTATAAAATATTTTAAATCGTAAATTTACCAGTTTACAAAATTTCTCAGAAAATCATAAACAAATTTTGGATTTCTATTAAAATTTTGGGCTTCATTAATGTGTTGATCATAGCAAAAGAATTTTCATAATGATTGTATATCTCATGATATTAGTTTCTCATGCACACTATGTTTACACGCCACAACAGAATGATGTCACGGAACACAAGAATAGTCACTTGTAGTGTTGTTCGCACCCCATCAATTCATATTCATATTACAAAAAATTTCGTAATGATAATATTTTCATTACATATATTCGATTAATTCACGTATCATTATCAATGTGGAATAGTCAAACACCTTTGATGGGTAATTTCGTTAACTAAGATAATTTACTTTGTACGACAATACAAGTTACATTTATTGTTCCCCTATTGGGCTAAACTGAGACCTACTTTGTTTAGCTTCTGCATGAAATTAGATGAGAGATCTACCCAACAAGAAAAAGCCCAGTCCACGTGGTTTCGTCCACTTCATAAGTAGCTAGGCCCAAAATAGTGTCCATGTAAATTATTAGTTTACTTTGTAGGTTTATATCATTTTCATTTATTTCTTACCCTCCTCCTCTTATCTCCTCTCATCACTTTTATTGTTTGCTTCTTTTGAGAGAATAAGGATTGCTTCTACTTTGTAGAAGATAGGTATTTTGCTAGATATACCAGATTAAAAAGACAAATATTACCCATCCTTCCCCTAAATGGAGTATTTAACTAAATTATGTAGAGGCTATATGTACGGATTAAAAAAGACATCAAGTTAGGTACGTGAGATTTCTAGCTGGTATCAGGGTTCGAGAGTACTCATCTCTCTCCTCTCTTGCCTCTTAACTCGACATATAACAAAAGTTGGAACATATTTGTGTCTTTGTACCATCTCTTCTTTCTCTGCTCAATACCATCTATACTTGTATTTTATGTGAAAATATTTACAATGACAAAGACCTATAAAAAAAACTCTCATAGTAATATCATGCATAATCTAGAAATTAAATCCATGTGAGAAGCTCCACTACCAGCCTTTCACTTATATATGTGTAGGGTGCTAAACCGTATTCGTATTCGAGGGAATATCTATAACCATATCCGTTAGGATACGGATATGGTTACTCAAATATATAACCGATAAGATATGGTTATGGATATGATTTTGAAGTGAAATATTTGGATTCATATTCAAAATATCTGAATACGTATTAGTCATGTTGTTACAACAGTCTTTATCCTCAGATTATGGATTTGAGGTTAATTTTGACGATCAAGATGTCTAATATTAGCTTTTCAGATATAATAAACATATTAATGAACTCTTTTTATATAACATGAACTATATTTTTTTCAACACCAGCTAGTTTCCTCACTTATTTTCT